ATCCTCTTTCGTTAGCTACGTTCTTTGATCGATGGACATCCAAGTGGATTTGTGGCTGTTTCGATGCTGGCGCCTTGTACTGCTAACTACCATGTTCCATGCCCCGGCGAAGTCGGTTAGTCTCGCTCCGATGACCAGATTTGTGGCAGCTATAGTCGATGTCGTACGCCGCAAATTTTTTTGCAATCATGTCCCGTCTACCGCATTTCCTGAACTGAGGTGATGTCTTTATATAATATCCAGCATTTCGAGGGTTCGGAGATTCCATATACTTACGCATTCAAATCTAATTTTCACATAAAACTTGTTTTGTATTGGTACGCCCTAATGTTTATATGTATGTTATGATTTATACTACGTACTTAACAAAGCAGAAAGTTGTGGTTGAAAAGTAAATTTAATAATGGAACTTCGCTTCACGCAATATTCATGTAATTTGCCACGCACACGCACATACAAATATATTTACATGAACTTTAATATATTCGTGTAAGTAGCTTTGAGTATATGCGTTTACATATAAACGTTCGCATATGAAGATGTGTATGTAAATACGTACATACATATGTCCCTGCCTATGTAAGTGTTTAACTTTATGCATTGAATTGTTCAACGCCGCGATTTAATTTAAAATTTTCTCGCAGCCGCCATCATTTGCCCAACGATGATTAATCACTGTAATGAGCAGGTATTTACTGTAAAAAAAAAAAAAAAAACAATAATAATTTACGTGGAGTCGCTGCGGTTACAGCAACATTGTGCAGATGTTTTAAGTACAAATTTAAGGAAAGATTAAATAATTATTGGCACTGAACTGGGTACTTCCTGGCGCTAATAAAGGACTTTGTTAAATATCGGCACTTAAGTATGTAATTAGTGGAACAAGTAGGTGTATATATGTAATTGATTATGCCTGTAATTAAATTTTGAACATTTTTCTTTAATTGATAATTTACTAATTTCTATCAACTAAGGTGTTTTGATGGAAAAATATTTTCCCGACTACGTAGTATAGTTTATAAAAAAATGCATTTCAAAGCGGTCCGGAGCCGAAATATTCCGAGCACAGTTTCATGCTTACATATGTGAAACCATTGATTCAAATAAGTTATTTTTATATTTAAGCTATTAAAATACATTTTTTTTATTTCTCGTCAAATATGGCGGATGGTTTCTTTGGGCCCCAAATGCCATTACGACTTCTGGAAAAAAATATTTGCTTATTCTTATAAGTGGAACTAATACCGGATATTCACAGAATGTGAAAATATTCACCAGAGATGTTAAAAATGCTTGCAAAATAATATCACCATTGCAGTTGAAAAATCCGACATGCTGGAGGTAGATTATTTCTAGATAATTTGGGTACGCTTGACAACGCAATGGTGTTACCCATTTTGCCGAATTAGGTCATCACTTCATACAAAATTTTCAAATCAAAATATCAATCATCGATGGGTAAAAAAGTTACAGAATAGCACAGTACAGGTCAAGCTGCATATCCCATGATATAAATATAGTAAGATAGAACCGCTGAGAGACACTTTTAAGATTATTGGCGCTTGAAAACAATATAATTTAAAACTCAAATTCATAAAAACGTTATTATTTTCAATCTCAGACTACAACAACTTTGAACAACTTCCTTTTTTTATACTCGAGCGCACTTGTTCACAAGGGTATTATAACTTTGTTCGCATAACGGTTGTTTGTAACAGCCTAAAGGAACCGAGATAGACAAATGTATACATAAACTAGCTGACGCGGCGAACTTCGTCCCGCCAAAAATTTATTTTTTTATTGAAAAAATGTGGGCCAACGTTTTCACCACAATTTTTTCTCAAGTTTGGTTTTGTGGTCGTCAGACCACATATTTTCTATAGCCGTCTTAAATAACCTAACGAAGTTGTTATATCCGTGAAGAAGTTCTTGCGGCAACAATGATCCGGTATGATGATGAATCGCCCTTGAATCTGTATCCTTGTATCCTGTATCCTGTGTCCTTGAATCTGGACGCAATTTCAAGATGGGGGAGTATCATTGGTCTACAGAAATCCAATATACATACATAGACTTACTTCAGACGAAATATCATAAATGTCTTACAATTTTCTTTGTAGTCATTCATCAAGAATTGTCTTTATTCTATTTAGTCACAGTAAATGAAGGACCGCAATGGTTATGGTAGTAGATTTAATGGTGGTAACCTTGACTACTTTGATGCCCGAATGACTTCACTTGGCAATTTTTAGCAATAACTCGACTCCAGCGCAACCTATACTATTGCCACTACTCTTACCACTATATATCTCTATTATGAGGAAAATCGGATCAAAAATATGATTTTTGGTTGTAATTCCACTCCAGAGCCACTGTCGAGCATTTTTTTTTCGCCGCAATATTTCCCTTCACGTTGCCAATACATGTTTTGAATATTAGCCAGAACGGATCGTAAATACAATTTTTAGTACAAACTCGACTCCAGCGCCACCTGGTGTTTTAAGTTGTGAACCTCGTTTAGGAGGAGATCACCGAAAAATTATATATGTATTTACACTTTTCTCCATTATGGGATTGATACCATATCAAGTTCCAGGACTCTACCACAAATACTTCCGGAGATATGCGGTATGAAAAACTCGATTTGTATGGTAGATACCATGCCCCCTTGATATAACGAAATTACTATCGGCCTATAACCAAAAGGTGTCCACAATTTCAAAGAAATCGGTACAGCCGTTTGCGAGATCACCTCTTTTAAAAATAGGGGACTTCTCTTTATATAATTGGTATAGATAATAAGTATACGTAAATAGCCAATACCCGAACTATAAAACAATCATTCAATTCTATTCTATGTATATCTATAATATGTGTACCGAATTTCAAGAAAAACGGACCATATGTACAATTTTTTCGAATAGATCAGTCCCTGGTCCACCTATCAGAAAAAAGTATCCTATATGTTAATCCGGGCCAAAAGCTACCTACCTATCATATTTCAAGCGAATCGGACGATAAATAAGAATAGATCGGTCCCTGGTGCACTTCTCGGAAAAAAGTATCCTATATGCTAATCCAGGCAAAAGCTACCTACGTACCGAATTTTAAGCAAACCGGACCATAAATACGATTTTTTCGAATAGATCGGTCCCTGGTCCACCTACAGGAAAAAGTAAATTTTCTTTGGCCTAAAACATGGTGGCTGCTGATTTATGTACAAAATTTTATGAAAATCGGACCAGGCGTTCGCGAGATTACCTGTCACAAAAAAAAAAGGGACTTCTCTTTATATTATTAGTATAGATAGATATAGATAGTATAGATGATCAGAGTGAAAGAGAAGTCGATTAAGTTATGTCTGTCTGTTCGAGCAAAAATTGAGATATCTCAACGAAATTTGGTATGCAGGTTGCCCCTTATCCAAGGTGTTCAAAATGGTCGAAATCAGACTGTAACCACGCCCACTTCCCATTTAACGGTATTATCGCAAAATACAAAAACTATGTTATTTCAGCGAATATTTGATTAAAGTTGTTGAAAATTAGTATGAGAAGTAAAATTTTGGTACAAAATAATATAATTACGGAATGTTTGGGGAGTAACTAACTCTTTTTGTACGCCATCTTTTATACGCGACATTTTTAAACACCTCCCAGTTAATTTTTTACGCGGTTTTTCTTTATGCTGCACGGGCTTTTCTTATAGTTTTTTGCTGTGATTTTATTTATTCGTTTTGTAACTATGTACACACAAATTGAAACCTAATAGAACGCTATATTTCAATTTGAGTTGACAAAAGCAATGGAATACTATCGAAATCGTTACGAAAAGGCCAAAAGTAAAATGCCTCCAAGCCTAATATCCGACTAGTTATTCCCACAATTAATAGAAATATGAAACATTAGCGTTTTTACCTCATTCATTTTCTGTATCAATGACAGTTTTGTTACGGAAAAATATGCATTTGAAAAAAAATTTTTTTTTTTCAGTTAAACATTTTTGTCACCGATACAGAATTGGGCTGTTTACCGAACAAAAATTTTGTTTTTTTTTTTTGCTTACAAGCAACAAAATTTATCAGCACATAAATAAAATATAAAATTTTCTTTTGTTTGGATCGTTCATTTACGTCTAAGTCGTATGTTTTGGTATGCATTTAAAATATGTTTGCATACATATATATGTATGTATTTTCGTAAATATGGGCCTATGTACATATTGAGTTCGTTCGAGTTAGAAGTATCCTATACAAATACATTACGCGGACTTCTTACTTACAATTGTACGCACAAGTAGGTTACGCCATGTGTAAGCTTTTATGCGGATCAATACAATAGAAAGCAAATAATATATGTAAAAGTGTATATTAAAGTCAATGAAAAAATAACTGGGTAGCCGACAGATGAATTTGTATACACATATGTATGCTCTGAACATCTATGGAAATTCGAAAACCAACGCACCAACACATGTGGCAGGTGGCATATATTGCACGGCAATACAAATGCTTTTAACGCTAAGCTGATTTTATTTTGCTTGTCTTTTTGCAGCCATTTTGTATGGTTGAGTACGCAGGTTGTCTCCTCTGACAGACCATAAATACGTACATATATTCCATTCGGCTGCACACATCTCTGCATGCATTTACGCATCAGCTGGGGTATGCTGTGACAACGGGAAACTTTTCAATCAGATTTCCGTTTCCAACAACATTTCCGTATTGCGAGCTATTCATGCTCATAAAGCGTAGAGGAAAACACTCACATCACGTAGATATTTAATATGCGCCTTGCCACCGCATGTGGTAAGATTATGTCGATTGAGAATTGAATGCTTCCATATGCGTGTAGAGTAGGCCGCACAGTTTGCCGTTATCAGATAGAAATTTTCTGACATTTATTTCGCTTTTTTTTTTTGTTGTATTGTTAGGCTGGCTATCGTATCATAGCTTCCTTCGAATTGATTTTTAAACTAATTTATTTTCGATCTATTTGCAGGGCAAAGACCGGTCGATATCCAACGTGCGTGAACGTATTTATGATGATCCAGCCTACACAGACGACATAAGCCACCTGGCGAATCCTCTACGTCGCAACAGCTGCTCGGGAAAGCCAGATAGTAAAGTGAAAAGTTTGGCTGGTGGCAGTGCAATGGGAAACGCGGTGGTAACTGGTGGCAGCAGCTCGTTGGGCAAACGCAGTAAATTAACCAAAGAATTTCTACAGCACGGCAAATTGCGTGATGGCGGCGGCTCCTATGAACGTAATGATTCAAGCAGTTCAGATGAGCCATTGCGTTCGGAAAGTCAATCGAAAAGTGCGACGGGTAGTGTTGGACGACGTGGGCGCAGTCTAGAGCGCAGTTCAGCAGCGCATGGGGAGGGAAAGAGTGCGGAGAAGAAACGTGAGAAACGTGAACGCAGCAACAAACAGAAAGGAAATGCTTGCATGGAAGGCACTTTACTACAACAACAACCGAACAAACAACAAATGGAAGGTATTAGCGCCGCCAGCGCCAGCAATCGCCGCTCAAAAGCACAGTCAGCTATGATGACCAAGCAGTACAGCGATGGCGCCGCTGCGGATTTGCAGTGGGCGGGCGAGCAAGCGCGCGATGAGCTAGCTTCAGTGCGCAGCGGCGCATCCACTTCTAAAGCTATTGCCACAGGTGTGCCCACCCCCACCGCCTCCTCATCAGGTGGCAGCTCGAAAATGCAAATAGGTCGCCGCTTCTTGCGCGGCGAAATCGGCATTAAGAGTTTCAATTATTATCTACTAAAGGAGGGTATTAAAAGCTCGAAACGTTTTGTGGAGAAACAGCGTAACTCTATCTCAAGCGGATTGGCTAGCGCGGCAGGTGGCGGCAAGAAATCGCACTCCCGCAGCGAGGAGAATATCTACGAGGAGATTTTCTTTAAGGATGCACCACCATCCGATGATGAGCAACAGCAATCCCAGCAGCATCAACAGGTTCAGAGTGAGTTAAAGGCTCAAGCAACAATACAGCAGCAAAACCACCATCACCAACAGCAACAACAACATGAACAGCATACAAAACCACAACAATCTTTGCCACAATCGGTCAGAGGTGCGGATACACCTATTTCACAATGCAGCGGCAGCGAAGAGGGCCTTTACGCCGATTGCGAGCTATGCCTGCAACAATGCACCAAAGAGAATTGCGAATACTGTTACGCGCAGCAATCGCGTTTGGCGGCAGATAGTCAGGACTGCCGGGGAAAAGAGCAGCGCGACATGGCGAAACCATATGCTGTTGTGCCACTGCAACATCAGCAACCACAACAAGATAAAAACGTGCAACAGCAATTCGATAGTCTCGGGCATCCATTAATTACTCAAGCGCCATGTGGCAACATGCATACCAGTGACGACTTCAATGAGACGATGAGTGGAAACAGCAACGCCCCGGGTAATCGTTTGGTAGGCGGTCAACTACCCACCGCCCACATACTTGAATTCCAATCGTACAACCCGAACAATCCGGGCGTATATAAAATTGAGACAACACCGGTGGCCATCACTGGTGAATACAATCCGATACTGCAATTTCAACAGTCGTCGCCTTCAACAGGCACGGCCACCACAACAACGCCAAGTGCTGAACTACAGCCCCAACCGCAACTGAATTTGGCGCATCACGTGGCTCATATGCCGCAACAGCAAACACAATTGGCACAACAACTTAGCTATCAGCAGGCTCAGCCTCAGCAGCAGCAGCAGCAGCAGCAATTTAAACACTCTTCACAGAGTTATTTACTGCAAAGCGGCGCCACCCTGCCACACCACCACTGCCATCAGTCAGGCGTGGGTGGCGTCTCAACCAGCAGCGCTGGCATACTCATAACCCAACAGCGTGTACGCGGCAGCCACCGCAGTGGTAGTCAGCAGTCGCACTACATGCTCGCTTACAATACGCCCACAGTGGCCACAGGACCGCCACCAACTGGCGTTGGCATGCAACGCATGAACACCAAATCATCATCGTCAAGCGACTCGTTGCAACATCAACACATGCATAAATACAACACCATGTCGCGACTGGAGGCACAACAAGTCCTGTTGGGAGATCCTTTCTATGGCGGCGCCAATGTAGGCCCGACGCATTCGCTTATGTTCGCTGCCAGTCGTCCCATTGGCGGTTCACAGATACTCGTCGACCCCTACGATTTGCCGCAAATGTACAAGAGTGACTCGCGCGCCTCCATAATCAGCGAGTATTCGCTACGTAGCAGCGACAATTCGCATCGCTATAATCGCTTTCGATACGCAGGTGGCGGTGGTGGTAGTTTCAGTGGCGTAGCTGGTGGTGGTGGTGGTGGTGGTGGACAGGTGAGTGACTCCAGCCTCGGTGACTCACTCTTCTCGTGCACCTCGGCACAGCGACGCTACTTTGGCAGCTCAGAAAGTTGTCGTTTTGGATTCGAGTGTCGCCGCTGCAGCCTGGATGGCGGCGAAAAGTGTAGCTATTCCGACACTTGCCGCTACGAGTGTCGTAACTGTGATTGTTCGTCCAGCTACTTTTCGTCGGACTTTGATGAGTTGTATGGCAGCGTGGCGGGTGCTGGTAGCACTGCGGCAGCGCTTGCTGCACAGCGCAGTAGCGGCATACCGCGCAAGACTGCAGCAGGCACGCTGCCCGCAAACGCCGGCCACAGCGAGTACGATCGCCAACAGGAGCAACTAAATTTGAAGCAGAATAAATATGCGCAAGATTTCTTTAAGCATGTAAACGATGTTAAACGCAGCATCTATCAGTCGGAGATGCAACGCAATGGCAGCGGCTCGAACGAAGATAAATTTGAAAGTAGCCGCTCCAAAAGCGAACGTGGCAATGAAGTGCCACAAGCAGCAGCGGGTAGCCCGCGTCGACATGCAACCAAAGAGGCACCGCAAATTACGACGCTGCCGCTTACTAAGGAGCGATCACGCGCACAACGCGCCTCTAATGTCATTACCTCGAACACGGATAGCTCGGCCACGCCTACGCCGGCACCAAGAACTAGTTTGCAGCAACCTCAGTCGACAGCGCAGCCAAAAGTTATACAACGCTCGCGACACGCACAAGTCCAAGCCGCCTACGAACGGCACAGTGAATATCCATCGTTAGACAGACTCGTGGCCAGCGCCACCGGCGCTATACCAAAAGCAACTACAGCTGCATTGCCAGCTAGTGCTGTAGGCAAGTCGAAAAATAATGCAACCAATACCGTGCAACATTCTGTAGAAACTGGCCATGACATAAACAGCAACAGCGCATCTCGTACAGAGCGCTATAGTCCGCGTCACAGTCCAAAGAGTTTGAAAATAACCGATCGCCCACTCGGTTTGCCAGTTGCTTCAATGGCTGGTATACATGCGGACGCGGCCAAGGCCAGCTGTCGCGAGACACGCGTCGCCGCTGAGGCCATTACCAATAATAACAATAATAACTTAGCTCCATCGGCTGCAGATGCGAATCACAATAAGCCAACTGAAATGCATGGCGCTGCCAAGACGTCGGCTGTGGCCGGCGCGGGTGGCTCAGCCAAGCGTGAAGCGCGATATTTGAGTGTTGAGCAGAGCGGAAATGTACCTATATCGCAGTCTGCCAAGCGTCATCATCGCAGCACTTCCGCCTCTAAACAATCTGCAGTGCCCTTAGTGCGCCGCAGCAAGGATATACCTGCGCCGCCACCACCATCGCCAGCCACGTACTCAGACTTGCAGGAATTGAAGGTGAATTTGGAGAATGCGCAGCAGCAGGGCGATGGTAGTGAAGGTGATGCTAAGAAATCTTCTGCTGAAAGGAAAAAGAAGAAGCGCACAAAAGAAGACAACGAGCGCCAGGCCAAAATAAATGCGACCGAAGGTCGAACACAAATGGAAAAA